AATATCGATCTACTGTTCGGACGATGCGATTTGAATGACGTGGAGGCTGGACTGAGGCTTCACTTGATGGGTTGTGTTGAATATATCAGAGAGAGAATTATGCTTCCCGGTACATCTTCCCTCCGTAGCTTGGCTATTGTAGACAGTGCTGTTTAGGCCGCCGTTCGAACAATGTCCGCTGCGATAGGAATTGCAGAGAAACGACCATAAATCAGGTCAGAGAGACTGAACGCTCTGTCCATGGTTCCGTCTATTGGCGAGCCCTTCATAGCTGCAGCCAAATAACCTTATTATCGATTTCTTTTAGGTCACGCCAAACGTTTGTCGCGTGATACGTTTGTAGGACAGCTTTATAGACATAATTTTCCAAGATTTTTTCTAATTTGACGAGCGCAGTTGTTTATCCTTATTCTATGTTTTTTCCAACAAATCAGCCGGTACAACTTAATTTTCGCGACAACAGTTCAATCAGCAGTGATTTCCTTTGATGACTAGGGATTCGAAGTCCACAGATGCTGCCTGCCGCACAAAGCTCTGAATCACTATTGCTTCTTCAGTTAGAGGTACAATGAGGTTGGAAGAAACAAACTACAGTTCAGTTGACGTTTTGTCTTAAATGCAATAGAAATGTTTGTGATAACCAACGAAAAGCGCTGGACAGCTGTTTCGTCCTGTTTGGGACTCGTCAGCGTTGCGTACGTTTTATGTCCCTATCCGAAGTGAAACTCACTACCAACATCATCAACAGTGCCTGATACCTAAGAAAAACCGAATAGGCTTATCGGAACATTCACCTTCCAGACGTTTCCTGCTCTATTCCGCTTAGTCAAATGACACGTATTTGTTGTCTGTAAGCGTTGTTCTTATCAGCTAATTCCAAACATTCCGTGTTTCTAAATTTAGACGATCACATTTGTCAGCGTTGTTCCACATAAGATAATTGCGGATTGACTGATTTCGTTTGTACCAGTTATGCAAAACAATCTCCTTGACTGTGTTGATTAGACCGGATCAAAAATAAGGGATTTTCTATTTTGACCCGAAACTAAGACGCCCGGTGGTGAAACCAATAAAAATTCCGGGCTGATAGAGATCATCAATCTGGCCATGCCACTCTCGATCAAACACAACGAAATTCAATCCGTTTCAAACGAAACACAAATCTACTCATTCGTGAATGTCAGATTGTTTGCAACTGTACCGGAATGTTGTGATTGGAGCCAACTCACTCATCTTGCTAGATATAATGGAAAAGGAGAGAAATTAAGCATCCCCCTCGAGTTTTCTATTAATTTATCTTCATGTAAACCTAAACCCCGTTGTCGAGCCTAGATCAACATTGTGTCTGCATGAATTCTATACTAATTACTGAGGTTTAGTTACAGAACAAATAGACAATGGCAACTCGCAACAAATATCTTCACTTAAACACTGCTAAAAGTCGTTAAATGAGAGAAATTATTGGGTGGTCAAAAACCATCACTCTCAGTCAGATCAGAGACTTCGTTTGTGCACATCGCCTTGGCAAATAGAGCTGTCGACCATATGCTAGACCAGATAGNTACAATCCCTTGGGGGACGTGTACTGTTTGCGATGTGCAAATAGTCCCCCGACCCCCACCTCGCATACACACACTCGATCCCATTCGGACCACTTACGTGGTTGGGTAGAGTTTTGATTGGAGATGCGAGATAATCAAAACGCGAATAGGGTCTACCATAGCTACTGATCACCGAACTGATTTTATCACACATAGTTGTGATGAACAAAAAGTAACATATTGTGCCCAAAGGAATTTCGCTGCACATTCCCTCACAATTTGGCATTTTGCATGTGTATCTGCTTTGCACCGGATCTGCTGATGTGATATCCCATAGCGATGTTGTTGTTGTATTGTCTAGATGCGGCTTGGAGCGTCATGGTCTGTGGTGGTAAAATGAATGAACCTAGGACCCAATACCGGTTAGATGCAAGTTGGGTTTTCCCAAAGT